ATATATATTCATGACTTCTGTAGTTCAGTTCCTGATTCATGAAATCATCTGCTTCCTACTTTCATTCTTTGTTTTTTAGCATGATTTTTATTGAATCTTTTAAAAAAGAAAATAAAAATAATATAAAATGAGGGAGAGAAAAAAGCAAAAAGTGCAAGAAAGCAAAACTGAGAATTTTTTTAAAAAAATAGATACAAGTGGCTTCCAATATTCTCCATAGTAGTTAATATATATATAGCCAAATATATTTTAACTCTCTCTCTAAAGTTACATCATGACATTCTTCTTTCTGTAATCTATCCTATATAATCTTTAAACTCATAAATCACAAATTCATTTTTCCCCATTTTGTTTTGTGGGAAGCTCACCACCCCCTTAGAAAAATGAAATATTTTGGGGGAATATTAAAAGAGGCCAGAATATTATATTTCCCCAAATGGAGAAAAGTCAGAAAGCATCCCCCAACAGCCTCCAACAGATGCCGGGAATCTTTAGAGATGGAGATTTTGTGCCCATTAAGAAATCTAGACCAATCTATTCATAAAGAAAACAACTTCCCCTCCAGATGATGGGATTAAGAAGGAAAAGAACAACAACTTTAGGACATAATAGGCTTAATCCACCACCAATCAAATAATAAAACACACAAAGCAAACCTCAATATTACAAAATACTGTAAACTGAATAAAAATCCTTGCACTCATCGAACTAATTTTGTCATCTGTCCCAGAACTGCATCCTGTGGTTGGTCCTGCTCATCAATAAGCAGAGTCCTTCTTTTCTATTAGCCTCCATTTTATTTCCAGCCAGGGGTGGGCTGCTAGGAGTTTGCAGGGGTTTGGGAGAGCCCTTAGCTAAGATTTTGTGCAGTTAGGAGAACCCCCAAATCCCACTCCTGGCTGGCCCCTTCCAGCCCACCCCACACCTTCCAGGAGTCCCCATGTGGCCCATTTTGGATGCAGGTAAGTGCAGGGCATGTGGGGAGACTTGGGAGGGCGAAAAAAGGGCCTCCTGGAAGTTCAGGAAGGCCAGAAATGGGCCCATTTCTGGCTTCCAGAGAGTCTCCAGAGCCCAGAGAGGCCATTTTTTTTCCTTCTGAGAGGCTTGAGCAAAGCCTCTGGAGCCTGAGGAGGACAAAAATGACCCCACGCCACCACGGTGCAGGAGGCTGACTAGGCCATACCCACCACAGCCACACCCACCCAACAACTGGGCAGACAACCCGTTGCGAAAATTTTCGAAGCCCACCCATGTTTCTAGCGCCTTTTTCCTGACTTGAAACAGGACTGGATTTTTCTTCAAACAGTTCATTTTGCTTCCCCCTCTCTTTCTGAAGGCTTACTACCTTTAAAATTAATGTTTGAAATCCTTGTTTCTCTAGAATTCAGCCTCACTGTATCTGAGCAAGCATGCAGAAGATTTGTAAAGAAATGTGTTCTGTTTCTATGGCATTTGGGGCAATAAAGACTTACTTTTCTTTTTATTACCTTAGTTCTGATAGATCCTGAGAAACAGTGTCAGCCATGCAAGCTGTCAGGAGGATTTTAGTCTATTTACATATTCAAGCAGTTTAAGCCATATTGAGTGAGAAAATCCCATCATTTGAATAGAATTGAAAACTGCAACAGGTACACTAAGTTCATCCCTATGAGATAAGTGGATTAACTAGTTGATTCTGGAACAATAGAAAGTTGTACCGATTTGAGTCTCTTTTTGATAAAGTTGAAGTTCACTTTTAATTGGCTGTGCATTTACTGAGCTCCGTTTTTATGCAAATCAAGGCTGAAATCCTCTCAGGGTAAAGGAAAAGTCAACCTTAGCCAACAAGGGTTTGATGGAACAAAGACAAGCAAAGTCACAGTTCTGCATTTCTTTATGGTTCTGCATTTTAGCTTGCAGGATGGAGAGACCCCATTTGTAAAGCATTAAGGACTCCTTCACGCATTCGATTCTGTCCTCCAAAAGTCCTATGTGAGGAGCTATAGATTTATGAAAGAAACAGCCCTGTTTTCCTAATCTCTTTGCTGTCAAAATGGTTCTTGATAGTCAGGCACTACCAGCCTTTCATCCTTCCGAGGTGGGTAAAATGAGGACCCAGATTGTTGGGGAAAATAGGCTGACTCTGTAAAAACCGCTTAGAGAGGGCTGTAAAGCACTATAAAACCTAAAGTGCTATTGCTATTTTCCCAGCTTTCTCCTGCTTGTTGTACACTTACTTTAATTGTGTTTTCGGGTCTGATTAAGCAGGTGACTATATGACCCAGTTTACTGTTTTTTACCATCCTCTCTTTCTTTAACAGGCCAACTGTTAAGAGAGCCTGTGCGACCCGTTACACATATTACTCTCAGTGTTTGGTTAGCATTTAGCAATTTATTTATTGGTGTTAAAAGATGTATATATGTGCTACCTTTTGTTATGTTATATTTCAGATTGCCTAGTTATAAGACATGGGGGATACTTGCAAGTGACCCATAGAACTGAAAAACTGTGATTTCACCTATTTTTAAGGGAGAGAGGGAGGGAGGGAAGGCAGGGAGGGAGGGAGGGAGGAAGGAAGGAAAGAAAGAAAGAAAGAAAGAAAGAAAGAAAGAAAGAAAGAAAGAAAGAAAGAAAGAAAGAAAGAAAGAAAGAAAGAAAGAAAGAAAGAAAGAGGAAGAGAGGGATAATCCTGGAGAAGGGCAGAGAGAAGATAGTGACATAATTATGTCAATGTTTATTTACCTATGTCCTACGTATATTTTAATTTCAAATCTAATAATCCTCAGTTGCCCAACATATTCTGAAAATCCCGATTGGGAAGTCCTCTATTAAACTGTGTAATATTGTTTCCAACACTGGAAACAGCCATATACACCTTTAGAGGAACTGGTTATACAAAAAGTTATGAATTGTGCTGAAATGGATAAATTAACGCTGAGTTTAAAAGATAAGGAATCTTCAATATTTTATAAGGTATGGGAACAATGGTGCAACTGGATAGATCGGAGACAGACTAAGGATAAGTAATTATTAAATATAGAATATAGATAAAATAAGAATATAATTATGCACAAATTAATATTTGTAAATATTGCACAAACGATTGTTACACGATAAGCACCACAAACAGCTGTTATTATATATATTTTATGTTTTTAATGTAATAAAATTCAATGAAGTTTATTTTAAAAAATAAATAAACTGTGTAATATTGGAGATTATTGTATTTTCTTAATGTCCCCTTCATTTTTTGACTTTATGGTGAAACAGCCTTTTTCATTCTGTGTACCCATTTAAAGTTTAAACTATGCTGGTTTTATTAGACTTTATTCATGGATTCATGGTTCCACTGAAGTAGTTTAAGCTAATTGCCTTCCAAAGATATTTGCTTATAATTGCTGGTCAGAAATTTAACATCTCGGTATTGTTGTGAGTACAACAGCCAGTTAAGGAGCAGCCAGAAGCCTTAACAGCAAGTTATCTCAGCTACACATTATGATATCCTCCATTTCCCCATTGCTGTGCTCAGAACAATTCCTGTCATTATCTAAAAGAAAAGGAGACTGTGGAGGCTATGTTCTATTTATTTCCATGCATTCAATCTAAAAGAATCAATTCTTCTAGAAAGAATCAAATTTACTTATTTGCTTTACTCAAACCCTTGTTTTTACATAATTTTCTATATGTAGTTTATTGATTGAACAATTACCAAGAGTTTAATTGGTAACTGTTTAAATTTCTCTAATGTCTGATCAAAGATGTTGCACATTAATAATATTGGAAATAATTGATATTCCTGATAAAGATATCTAGCA